GTGAACAATGAGGATGTTCCACTTGAACAATGTGGATGTTTGACATGAACAATGTAGATGTTTCACTTGAACAATGTGGATGTTTCACATGAACAATGTAGATGTTTGACATGAACAATGTAGATGTTTCACATGAACCATGTAGGTCTTTGACATGAACAATGTGGATGTTTGACATGAACATTGTAGCTGTTTGACATGAACAATGTGGATGTTTGACATGAACCATGTAGGTGTTTGACATGAACAATATAGATTTTTGACATGAACAAAGTAGGTTTTTGACATGAACAATATAGATGTTTGACATGAACAAAGTAGGTGTTTGAAATGAACAATTTTGATGTTTGACATCAACAATGAGGACGTTTGACAGGAACAATGTGGATGTTTGACATGAACAATGAGGATGTTTCTCATGAACAATGAGGATGTTTCACATGAACAATGTGGATGTTTCACATGAACAATGTGGATGTTTCACATGAACAATGAGGATATTTCACATGAACAAGGAGGTTGTTTAGCATGAACAATTAGGATGTTTCACATGAACAATGTGGATGTTTGACATAAACAATGTAGATGTTTCACATGAACAATGTGGATGTTTCACATGAACAATGTAGATGTTTCACATGAACAATGTAGATGTTTCACATGAACAATGTGGATGTTTCTCAATCAAAATGTCGATGTTTAACATGAACAATGAGGATGTTTCACATGAACAATGAGGTTGTTTCACATGAACAATTAGGATGTTTCACATTAACAATGTGGATGTTTAACAGAAACAATGTAGATGTTTCACATGAACAGTGTGGATGTTTCACATGAACAATGTAGATGTTTCATTTGAACAATGAAGGCCTTTGACATGAACAATGTAGGTGTTTCACATGAACAATGTGGATGTTTCAGATGAACAAAGTAGGTGTTTAACATGAAGAATGTAGATGTTTGACATGAACAAAGTAGGTGTTTGACATGAACAATTTTGATGTTTGACATGAACAATGTGGACGTTTGACATGAACAATGAGGATGTTTGTCATGAACAATGTGGATGTTTCACATCAACAATGAGGATCTTTCAGATGAACAATGTGGATGTTTGACATGAACAATGAGGATGTTTCACAGGAACAATGTGGATGTTTCACATAAACAATGTAGATGTTTCACATGAACAATGTGGATGTTTGACATGAACAATGTAGATGTTTCACATGAACAATGTGGATGTTTCACATGAACAATGTGGATGTTTCACATGAACAATGAGGATGTTTCACATGAACAATGTGGATGTTTCACATGAACAATGAGGATGTTTCACATGAACAATGTTGATGTTTGACATAAAGAATGTAGATATTTCTCATGAACAATGTGGATGTCTGACATGAACAATGTAGACGTTTCACATGAACAATAGAGATGTTTGTCAGGCACAATGTAGATGTTTAACATGAACAATGAGGATGTTTCACAGGCACAATGTAGATATTTGACATGAATAGTGTGGATGTTTGTCATGAACAAGGAAGATGTTTGACATGAAAAATAAGGATGTTTCACAAGAACAATCAGGATGTTTGACATGAACATTGTGGATGTTTCACATAAACAACGTAGATCTTTCACATATGAACAATGTGGATGTTTCACATGAGCAATGAGGATGCTTTACATGAACAATGTGGATGTTTGTCATGAACAATGTGGATGTTTGACATGAACAATGAGGATGTTTCACATGAACAATGTGGATGTTTCACATGAACAATGTAGATGTTTGACATGAACAATATAGTGTAAATGATTGACATGAATAGTGTTGATGTTTGTCATGAACAATGTAGATGTTTGACATGAACAATGTAGTTGTTTGACATGAACAAGGTAGCTGTTTAACATGGACAATGTGGATGTTTGACATGATTAATGTAGTGTAACTGATTGACATGAATAGTGTGGTTTTTTGTCATCAACGATGTGGATGTTTGACATGAACAATATAGACGTTTCACATGAACAATGTGGATGTTTCACATGAACAATGTGGATGTTTGACATGAACAATGAGGATGTTTGACATGATCAATGATGATGTTTGACATGAGCAATGTGGATGCTTGACATGAACAATGAGGATGTTTCACATGAACAATGTGTATGTTTCACATGAACAATGTAGATGTTTAACATGAACAATGTTAATGTTTCACGTGAACAATGTAGGTGTTTGAAATGAGCAATGTGGATGTTTAACATGAACAATGTAGGTGTTTGACATGAGCAATGGGGATGCTTGACATGAACAATGAGGATGTTTCACAAGAACAATAAAAATGTTTCACATGCACAATGTAGGTGTTTCACATGAACAATGTAGATGTTTCACAAGAACAATGTAGATGTTTAACATGAACAATGTCGATGTTTCACCTGAACAATGTAGGTGTTTGACATGAACAATGTTAATGTTTCACGTGAACAATGTAGGTGTTTGAAATGAGCAATGTGGATGTTTAACATGAACAATGTAGGTGTTTCACATGAACAATGTGGATGTTTGAAAGGAACAATGTAGTTGTTTGACATGAACAGACAAGAGCAATGTAGATGTTTGACATGAACAATATTGATCTTTGACATGAACAATTTAGATGTTAGACATAAACAATGTAGGTGTTTGACATGAACAATATAGTGTAAATGATTGACATGAATAGTGTGGATTTTTGTCATGAACAATGTTGATGTTTGACATGAACAATATAGTGTAAATGATTGACATGAATAGTGTGGATGTTTGTCATGAACAATATAGATCTTTGACTTGAATAATGTAGATGTTTGACATGAACAATGTGGATATTTGACATGAACAATGTGAATGTTTGACATGAACAATGTTGATGTTTGACATGAACAATAAAGTGTAAATGATTGACATGAATAGAGTGGATGTTTCTCATGAACAATGTGGATGTTTAACATGAACAATGTAGATGTTTCTCATGAACAATGTAGATGTTTGAGATGAACAATGAGGATGTTTCACATCAACAATGTGGATATTTCACATGAACAATGAGGATGTTTCACATAAACAATGTGAATGTTTGACATGAACAATGTAGATGTTTCATATGAACAATGAGGATGTTTCACATGAACAATGAGGATGTTTCACATGAACAATGTGAATGTTTGACGTGAACAATGTAGATGTTTGACATGAACAATGTGGATGTTTCTTATGAACAATATGTATGTTTGACATGAACAATGTAGATCTTTGACATGAATAATGTAGATGTTTCACATGAACGATGTGGATGTTTGACATGAACAATATAGTGTAAATGATTGACATGAATAGTGTTGATGTTTGTCATGAACAATGTAGATGTTTGACATGAACAATGTAGATGTTTGACATGAGCAAGGTAGCTGTTTGCCATGAACAATGTAGACGTTTCACATGAACAATAGAGATGTTTGTCAGGCACAATGTAGATGTTTAACATAAACAATGAGGATGTTTCACATGCACAATGTAGATATTTGACATGAATAGTGTGGATGTTTGTCATGAACAAGGTAGATGTTTGACATGAACAATAAGGATGTTTCACAAGAACAATCAGGATGTTTGACATGAACATTGTAGATGTTTCACATAAATAACGTAGATCTTTCACATATGAACAATGTGGATTTTTGACATGAACAATGTGGATGTTTGACATGAGCAATGAGGATGCTTTACATGAACAATGTGGATGTTTGTCATGAACAATGTGGATGTTTGACATGAACAATGTAGATGTTTCACATGAACAATGTGGATGTTTCACATGAACAATGTAGATGTTTGACATGAACAATATAGTGTAAATGATTGACATGAATAGTGTTGATGTTTGTCATGAACAATGTTGATGTTTGACATGAACAATGTAGATGTTTGACATGAACAAGGTAGCTGTTTAACATGAACAATGTGGATGTTTGACATGATTAATGTAGTGTAACTGATTGACATTAATAGTGTGGATGTTTGTCATGAACGATGTGGATGTTTGACATGAACAGTGTAGACGTTTCACATGAACAATATAGTGTCAATGTCTGATATGAATAGTGTGGATGTTTGTCCTGAACAATGTGGATGTTTGACATGAGCAATGTGGATGCTTGACATGCACAATGTAGGTGTTTCACATGAACAATGTAGATGTTTCACAAGAACAATGTAGATGTTTAACATGAACAATGTGGATGTTTCACATGAACAATGTAGGTGTTTGACATGAACAATGTGGATGTTTCACATGAACAATGTAGGTGTTTGACATGAACAATGTGGATGTTTGACATGAACAATGTAGGTGTTTAACATGAACAATGTAGGTGTTTCACTTGAACAATGTAGGTGTTTCACTTGAACAATGTGGATGTTTGACATGAACAATATGGATGTTTGACATGAACAATGTAGATGTTTGACATGAACAATATTGATCTTTGACATGAACAATTTTGATGTTAGACATAAACAATGTAGGTGTTTGACATGAACAATATAGTGTAAATGATTGACATGAATAGTGTGGATGTTTGTCATGAACAATTTAGATCTTTCTCTTGAATAATGTAGATGTTTGACAAGAACAATGTGGATGTTTGACATTTACAAAGTGGATGTTTGACATGAGCAATGTTGATGTTTGACATGAACAATATAGTGTAAATGACTGACATGAATAGTGTGGATGTTTGTCATTAACAATGTAGATTTTTGATATGAATAATGTAGATGTTTGACATGAACAATGTGGATGTTTGACACAACAATGGGGATGGTTGACATACAACAACATCCCTTGGTTGCTCCCCGTGAGGACCATCTACCAGTGAACACCTCACCATGACCTATAGTTTTAACAGTTTCAATGGCAATTCTAATGCTTCTTCTGTTTCAGGTGTTTCACGCCTGCAGCAAGGACAGTGCCGCTCTCAAGTGCCAGTACGACGTCATGCTCGTCAACGTGTTTGATGTACAGGTCCGTATATCAATAGGGCGGGAGGGTAGCCTCGTGATTAAAGCGTTCACTCGTCGCGGCGAAGACCCAGATCCGATTCCCCACATGGATACAATGTGTGAAGCCCATTTCTGGTGTCCCCTGCCGCGATATTGATGGAATATTGCTAAAAGCGGCGTAAAACTAAACTCACCCACTCACTCACTCAGTATATTAATGACACAGTTGGGAGTATCACATGTAGCAAGACAGGGAAGGTCCGATGCATAAACCGTTTCTATCGGTGACTTTCGGGGTCAGTGTGCCACTGTTTATGAGAACAGGACCTACTTACTGGTACCCTGCTGTGCTGTGCTCTATTTATTATCATTTGATGCAAAGTCAATATTTACATTCGTTTTGGATCGTTACTTTGAGATAATCAAGTTAACATGCGTGTTTTAAGACGCAGGTAATTATCATATCGTATCATATCTCATAAGATTGCTGGACATTTTCAGTGTTTACTTTACAGATTTAGGTGCCTCGTATTTACATGTTCTTTCAGGCGGCCCAGTATGTTATTGATAAGTCCGAAGGGAGACAACTCCCGTCTCACCAGAACTTGCTGAACCTGTGCCGCGTGTACACAGACGTCACATCCCTTGAGGGGAAAGAAGAAGTTCAAGTAGGCCATATTAATCATATTAGGAAAATTGTTTGTCATTTACTGACGTGATGTAGTTTGATGTATGTTTGACGTTAAGTGTACTTGTGGGCACACAGTCATTCCTTGCTTGCGTCTTGTAAACACAGTTGGGTTACGATTTTATGAGAATGGAAGAAGGGCTCTGAAACCCAATAAGCAGATCCATTTAATTTGCATGTCAGAAAACCTGAAAAAAATAAATCCCCGAAATTCAAAGATACCTATTCATTTCGTAAAATGGTATTTTGGGATTACAAAACTAAAACGTTGTCAAGTTAGGGACCGTTCATAATTCATGGCTAGGGGATGATGATGATTTGATTATTTTTATCAATAAATGCAGAAAAAGCGCTGGGATGAGGGAGGTAGTCAGCCCAATATGAATACCTCACTCGAACATGAACAGAAGAAAAATATAAAAAATGATCATTCGAACTCCAAGGTTTAAAAAACGACTGACATCTCAATACGTAAACACTTTTCATGGCCATCCAAGAGTTCAGTGTTTGTTCCTACTTCGGATGAAAATAGACACTGTGGTAACACAATCTCTCATAAAAGTCAATATTGTAACTAAAACGATTGTTACGTACATTTCGTAAATACCAATGCTCTATTGATTTGTGCTCTCTTGCATGAGATGAATGGATACAGTGACTGAAACACTTTTTTGTGTTAGTAAGAGAGCATAATTTATGGATAGAACCTAATTTACATGAAAATACTCACAGACGAAGGAAAGAACAAGTGTTCTATTAAATATTCCATCAATAGATTGCGTCAGATCAGGATTCACTGAACAGTCTAACACACAAAAGAGGGATACATAAAACAAATAGAACTACAAGGGAAATACTAGTAGTTTGTGAGCTCAACAGTTTAATCTGTATTATGACATACATTTCGAATCAAGTTGCTTTCCCCTGTTACTTTGTTTTCGCCAAGTAAATACTATGATAGCAATGAGGGGGCAACAAAGGCTTTGAACCAACAGACAGACCCATGCTTGTCGTAAGAGGCGACTTACGGGATCAGGGGGGTCAGGCTCGTCGACTTGGTTGAAACATGTTATCAGTTCTCAAATGCGTAGATCGATGCTCATAATGTTGATCACTGGATTGTGTGGTCCAGATTCGATTATTTACTGACCGCCGGAATAGCTGGAATATTGCTGAGTGCGGCGTAAAACTTAACTCACTCACTCGCTTAAGCCGAAACAAACATAAGACTGCAGCTGGTTGATCTCAGAACTGATGGGGCTTGTGTTACAACTGCACATATCGTATTGCTGTCTTATATGTTGATGATTAAGTTAGCAGTGTGGGAAGTTAATGCCGTTGACTTAAATATTAATGTGAAATCACACCGGCATTTGCGTTTATCTCTCCACAAGGCAGTAAAGTCAATTCACAACTATCTCATGTATCTCGTGGTATTTTAGTCCGGTGCCTCAGGTTATCAGGTTATATCTTGATGATGATGAATGTAAATAGATACCTCATATATGCTGTGCGCACACGCGTGCACGCACGCATGCACACACGCCACAAACAAAAACAAACAAAAATACACCCAAATTAAAAACGTTTTTCACGCGGTCATAAATATTCAATTTAGTTTTGAGTTTTGACAAAGCAACTTTTCTTTTGCAGTTTATTTTTATGTCTAGATGATATGGTGGTTTTATGTCTTCTCCTTAAACCAAAATGTTATAATATGGTAAGCTTTCATTTACAACTAAAAATGCTTTGATGTACAGGCGAAATGGTACAAGGCAGACGGGGCGTACTGGGCTAAAACAGAATTATCGCCGGAAATGATAGACAACGCATGTGCAGATGTGCGGATTCTGTTACCGGAAGTGTATGACAAGCTGAAGGGGTAGGTTTGGCAGTGTTTGGTTTCAATAATTTTATTTGATGTGAAAACCGATGTTGTGGAGGTTATTAGTGCTTTTTTCAGAGAGTTTGAGCCTCTTCGAGGACACTATAAGTGTCGGTTCTTATTTTCAGTATTTCTCTCATATAATTTCCAAAGCCATTTTGTAAGAATTCGCCAGTTTTCACTGATTTTCATCATTTGTTGAACTCATGACAAGGATCTTTTCAACGTTACGAATTTGTTTTACAATACATCAGTTCATGTGTAAACAGTACCTTTAAACAGTATTGAATATTTTGCAAAATTTAGTTTAAGACAGTTGTCTGAAGTCGGTGGCCATATTTACACTAGTGAGTTTAAACTTTTGATGAGTAGTATATTACCGAAACACTCTCATATTGTATTGCTGGGGTTGTTATCCCCCGCCAGTTGGAGGGGGGTATTGGCTGGAGTTCCGTCCGTCCGTCCGTCTATCCGAGATGATGGGGACAGATTTTCACAAAAAATGTTCTAGATTGGTATGTCTTGACTTGCTTCATGGTATCCCCAATGGGAACAGATTTTCTCAGTAACCAAATGTGGTACGTGTTTTCAAGACATGAATGCCTTGATGGGAGTTCGAAAACGGAAACTGTGTTACAAGTTGTTACAGAGTTATGGCCCTTGTCATGCGTTTCTTGACTTAGTGCATGGTATCCCCAATGGGGAACAGATTTTCTCTGTAACCGTTATAGATAGGGAATCCAAATGTGGTATGTATTTTCAGGACATGAATGTCATGGTAGAGTTAAAAATTAACTCCAGGAACCAAATAGGAACAGAACACAGTGGCGGGGGACATTGATGCCAATGTTTTGGTTTTTTATTTAATTAGGTTTAAAGAATTAAACCTCTTCGATACAACTGAGAGAAATATTATTTGTTAAGCACATATTCTAAGGTAATTATTATTATAATCTATTCTCCCTATTTGTTATTTTTTCAGAAACATTAAATCTCCAAACAGATATGCAAAAATGTCTCCGGAATGTGTTCTTCTTAATAAAGACTGACTGAGTGAGTGTGGTTTTACGCCGCTTTTAGCAATATTCCAGCAACATCACTGCGGGGGGCACCAAAAATGGGCTTCACACATTGTACACATCTGGGGAATTGAACCCGGGTCTTCGGCGTGACGAGCAAACGGTTATGTATGGATATATTGTTTTGAAACTCGATAACTTCGTCAGTCTCAACTGGGCCCATAAGAGCCGTTTTGTAACCAAGAATTGAATGGGTTACCGGCCTATTATTATCTAAATTTAAGATCATAAAAATATTTAAGTTACATGTATGTACAGGGAAATTATCTGGGAGTACATTGATATCAACTTTCCCGTCAAAAACCCACGGGAAATGTTTCTATAAACTCTCAAGAAAATACGAAGGGTAGGTAATCTGCCACTAGAGTCTGAATAGGATTTATGATGGTTGTGTTCTTACCTGCGATGCAGGGTCATGCCTTGACTCTATAGGACCGCCTCGCTGCTCTTGGCTAGTACGAGTTGTACATAGGTCACCCGCCATTTTCGGACCCGGAAGTATTTGTAGATATGTGGAAATCGTTTGGAATTAACAATATCTCTATTCATATTATCTTAAATTCATTTCAAGGTATCTCCAATTCAATTTAAGATATCTCCAATTCAATTTAAGATATCTTCAATTGAATTCATTTCGTGATATCATTAATTTTATTACAGATAGCTGTACTTATGTCTATTCGAGATATCTATCTTCAATTCAAGATATTTTCAATTCAGTTAAAGAAATCTGTATTTTCAATCACGATATCGTAATATCAATTTAATATATCAGTGTAAATAAATAAATGTGAAAACAGGAGTGAATTTCTCATCGTTCATGGTCCCACCGTTTTTAAGAAAATTCACATTAGGCAACACAATTTTGTTGGCTATGTTTTTTGTTCTTTCAATATGATGATATATATTTTTCATGATTTTTTAAACAATCGTATAAGGACATAAACGATTTAAGTACTCGGAATTATTTTATCAAAGTACCGCTATCATTCCGCGCGATCTGATTTGTTTGTCGTATTTACGCACATAACAATCATCGAGAGGGGGGACGTGTCTTCTTGGAGGTCACGGAAAGGTGCGAGTGGTGCCGAATGTGAAATATCTACTCATTCGTCGCCACTCGCCCCTTTCCGTAACCTCCAAGAAGATTCGGCTTGTCCCGGAATATCACGAGTTGGTTACGAATGATATCTACTCAAATCGTTCAATTGTCGACACTGACACAATATTAGTGGCACGTGTGTTTTATAGATGTACAAAGAAATCATTTCTTTTTGATTTAATGACGACATTAAAAGACAAGGGATTTGTTAATGCAAACGTCGCCTTTGATAATACTATTTATAAGTGAACTATATTTTGCAGGACACTTGGTGAAAAAGAGCTGTGGGGAGAGTTTAATGAAAGAGTAGAATTTGAATTGAACTATCGATGGAATGAGAATGTCAAATATGACAAATATGAAGAGACCATGACTACCATTAGAAACATACTTCACCAGTTCTCAACAAAAAACACCAGTAATGTCGAGTTGGATGACATCAAAAACGAGGATATCATTCAAGCGTTGAAACAGATTCCAACCCGAGAAGTAGGACAGTTTCCTGGTACTGTCATGAAACTGAAAAAACAAAGTCTAAAAAGGGGAATGGACGAATTGGAACAAGCCTTAACAGAAAAGGCCGACTCTTTCGTTCCGCTGGGACGGCACTTCGGAATGTTGGACAACGTCAAGAACAGCCCTGATCCTGCAGTAAGCATGGCAGCAGGTAGACTGAAAGTCAAGCTGGAGGAGATTCTGAAGACGGACCTAATTACCAAGTACGATGAAACAACTCCAGGCAATTACATCTCGGAGGATGAGAAGAGATACGTGAGAAGACTACCATCTTCTACCGGCACCAGCTCAGCTGTCAACCCCGTCCTCCGCCATCTTTACAACGTCAGCATCGACAGCTACGTGGAGGAAATAGAGACTCTGAGGCAGAAGTTGCGTCGTGAAGGCAGTCGTTTCAGACTTAACCATGCAGACCTCCGACAGTGCAAGTACTACATCAGCGCCCCTGGGGTTCCTGAGAGGCTTAAGACAAAGGCCAAGCTATTTCTGGACGAATTACAGGACGCTGGATATCTGGCAGCTCCCCGAAGGAGATCGGGGTATCAGTTTGGATTTTGAGTGTCTTTAGACGTGTCTCCACGACGTGGAGTCAGTGTCTGTTTTCAAATATACTCTTGTTCCAGTAATGATGAAGCCTCATTCCACAAATAATGCCTCAATATTCAATTTGTGGACTTATTCCATAATTGCACTATGTTACGAATGAAACTGATATGTCTTTCCACATGCAGTCTTTTATGCTAATTAAGAAACTGCACTATTTCTGAGTAACCCAGATGTGCTTTAGCCCTTAAGACTTGTCAAGTTTTTATATTTGCATTGTGAAGGTAAGCTACAGAACACTGATGCTGCGATACACTTCTTTAACAGATGGTATTGGAGATTTCAATGTTAAAACATAAAAGCACATGTTCAAAATATATGTTCAGGGTTCGCACGTGCTTGAAAAACCGAGTTTCCCTTGAAAACCCCTTTTTCCGTTTAAAGACTCTTAATTTGTTTTAGCCTTGAAAAGGCCGTAATTGCCAGCTATTTGCCCTTAAAGGGTCCTATATTTTTCAAAACTTGAAAAGTTATGATGTTACAGGAAACTAATACATAAGAAATATACCTTGCATTGGCAGTAGGTGTTAATTATAATCTCCAAACAGTCATTGAACCCATGTGGGCACCAGCCCAACGGTCAACCGCGTCCAACGCCATCTTTACAACGTCAGCATCGACAGTGACGCGGAGGAAATCGAGACTTTGCGACAGAAGTTCCAGTCTGAGGGGAAGCGTTTCCGACTTCGAGACGGTGACCACAGGCTGTTCAAATACTACATCAGCGCTCCTGAAATCCCACTAAGGCTCAAGACAAAGGCTAAAGGATTTCTGGATACGCTGGAGAATGCTGGAATCATTTCAAGACATAGGAAGAGACAATACGGGTTCTAATTATCACCAGTTCCTACCAGACACCTGCTCATAAAACGAAAATCTTGTCTAAGACGCGAAGGAAAAAGAAATCTTGATCATGTCCATATAAAATGTAATCTCTGGAAGGGACATTCTCACTTTAAGATTAGCAACGTGCACTGTGAGTGAACCAAACAAAGATAAATTCGATTGGCCATCTAATGATTAAGAATGTACAAGAATACACAGTATTATATATATCCATTTTGTTTGCCTTGCAATTTATTTTTTTACACAGATTCAGTAGTTTGTTAGGGAACAAACAAAATGCTACTACTAAAATGCTATTAAAATCAAATGATGGTTGGGGTGTTGGAAGATTCTCATTAGTGTAAACTTTATATTTTTATGTAGGGGTTATCATTTTTTATTATTTTATAACTCAAACAGTTTGTTATTTTGAAAGTTTTTATCCTTTTTATAAAGTGAAATAGGGTACATTGTTAGACTCAACGAAAGATTGTCATGTACAAGTGTATACAAGTATTCTATGATAGTATATTACAATAGCGCGTTTTCTTTTTATATTTATATCAAGTATATATATTAAATATTCATTTTGTTGTATGACAATACGTTTTGCACAGATTTTCAAAAGAGTGTTGTACATTTCTTTACTTGGATAACACATTGTCGGATATTTTTTAGAAGTACACTGTTTTGCTTTGAATAATACTGTGTTGCTTGTCTTTTAACACTGCCGTTGGCAATATCTCAGCCATTTCACGATGATCTGTAAACAATCAAGACGGGGCCAGACAATCCTGTAATAGAGCATGTAAGTCTCGTGAGGCGTTACTTCCGGTACTAAGCTGGTTCCCGGTTCCCTTTGCGCTTCCGATTATTTTCTTACCTCCAGTACCAGACCAGTGGTGACAAGCGTAAATTCAAGAACCAGTTCTGGTTCCAAATTGCGAGACCGCCAAATATGACTTTACTAGTCCTGACCAGGTGTACAGCCCATGCTTGGCTGTTAGCTCTTGACAGTCGTAATGTATAGTTGGCTAATTTGGGGATGGTTAAATCGGAAAGTTGTTATTCCTGCAAGGATTGTCGGTTCCTTACAGTCAACTGACAACCATAAGACCTTTCGAAAAGGTATGAAACGTTGTTTGTCACCGGAAGTACTGAGGTCTCGCGAAGTGCCCTGACCTACTTACGGGCCCTATTAATTGACATCATAGGCAGCTTCTTTGCAGCTGGGATACGATAGCATGGATGAATTATGTCACCATGTCACCCTGCCCATCAGATTCGATTAGTCATCGTCACTACAAGCATGAGTTGCTGAAGATAAATTTTAACCCGGATCTTCACAAGTTCAGTGTAAAAAATACGATTTGAAAATTGCATATCTTTTGCTTGGAAAATAAATGCTATTTGCATTCTTGTGTTATTGTTTGTGTTAATCTAAATGTTATCTCTGGTACAAATTACAGGGTACCCGTGAAGATCCATATTAGAATTGGTCTTCAGTAAACCCATGCTTGTTGTGAGAGGCGACTAACGAGATCGGGTGGTCAGGCTTGCTGACTTGATTGACACATGTCATCGGTTCCCAATTGCTTAGATCGATGCTGATGTTGTTGATCACTGAATTGTCTGGTCCAGAACCGATTATTTACAGACCGCCGCCATATAGCTGGAATATGCGGCGTTAAACAACAAACAAATTGACAACAAACACACTCAACGATGTCAATGAAGTGGAGCTGAATAGTACTTATGGGAAAGCTAGAATAATGCTGAGTGCGGCATTAAACAACAAACCAACCAAACCAATAATATGAATCCAGAGGGACATATTCTGAATAATTGAACCTAACTGACGTAGACAAGTTTTGAACTACAGGTCCTCTTTATCTATCACCATTTTACGGTTGGGTGATTTCAAACTTGGTGTGATCCCCTTGGCACAGATTCTTGGGTATGGCCCTTTTTGTAACCTTCAAGAAGATTCAGCTTGTCCCGGAATAACAGTTGGTCACGAATGCTTCTACCATACGTTACAGAGATTCGTCTGACATCCACGAAGCCAACTGTACACTGGTGAAATGAAACAAAATTTAAATTTGCCATTGTCCATGGACCCTCTATGCATGCACAATCCTTAATAGCGCTTGTATTCTAAATATAGCAAGCTGCTGGCTACATGAGACTGCATCTTCCTGGGAACATCAGACTTAAGTATTATCCCAACCATCTCAATATCTTTCGGCAGTCAGCTTTCATATTGCTGGGATATTGTAAACAGCGGCGTAATATATATATATCAGCTCTTTGAAATTGGATTGTTATCATTATACAGCTAGTTAGTTTACAAAGAGCTTTAAGGCACAATGTCACACCACACTTCTCTAAGCAAATATAATGCATTTCTCTCAATGATTATACTATCAGCCCTCGGAGAAGCTACCATATATGCTATTCCCCCCAAAATTACGTATTTAGATAACAATATCAATTCAAAATTTCGAATGAATTAATGCAACATTGCATTAAATCGACTCTCCCGCCCTCTACCGGTCGAACATTATTTCAAGCGAACCCCACAGAGTTATGTCCCTTGGAGCGCTCTTTACGAATATCCTACGCACAGCTTGTAATTGAAAACAGTTCGGCCAACACCGACAACACCGCCTGCGACAGTTTTCGATGTACGGAGCAATTGCTTACATTCCATATGTGGCAAGTGTTCCCTGTTTGGTAGCTGTTCGCCTCGAAGTTTCAATTATCGATGGGCTAATAAGTATTTTATTGAATCATTGGGATGCTAAAGCGAGTGCATAAGCCCCCAATATAATGTCAGGGGCGGATACAGCTTTTTGAGAAAAGGGGGTGCACACTATTGAGAAAAGGAGGGGTGCACACTTCATTTACACCCGAGTTTCAATGGACCCGTGAAGATCCGGGGTAGAATCGGTCTTCAGCAACCCATGTGCTTGCCATAAAAAGGCGACTATCTTGTCGTAAGAGGCGACTGACGGGATCGGGTGGTCAGTTTCGCTGACTTGGTTGACACATGTCATCGGTTCCCAATTGCGCAGATCGATGCTCATGCTGTTGATCACTGGATTGTCTGGTCCAGACTCGATTATTTACAGACCGCCACCATATAGCTGGAATATTGCTGAGTGCGGCGTAAAACTAAACTCACTCACTCACTCAATCACCGAGTTTCAATGGTCATATAATAAACGTTCAGGGCAAAAATAGGTGTGCGCGCGCACGCACGCACGCACACACACACCCTCTGGATCCGCCTATGAATAAAGGTCAAAATACTGTCGAAAATGTGTTGTTCTTTCCCTTCCTCGTTTCCTCTTTCCTGGTGGTGTCCACTTGAGTGCCGCGTCAGCATTGCGTTCACCTCTGTACACCCTTGCCCTGCCATCTTTGCTGTCCAGATGAAATCTCGACTCGTCAGTGAATAAAACACCATCCACATCTTGTCTCTTGTACCGGAGATGCTGTCTGCACCGGGCAAGACGTGCCTGTTGGTGACGTTGGAGCAAAAATGGACGTATTGCAGGCCGTCAGGGCCTGGTGGTGTGGTCCCTCTGTCGGTTCCGTACTGTCCTCCAACTGATTGGACGTAAGCCAGGAATGGCCGAGCAGTCAAACTTGCAGTCTGGAATCTATTCCTTAGATTGCGGTTGTCTTGCTGACGTGACGTCATACGTGTGTTGTGCCCTTAAACCTACAATGGTCTTAAGTGCACAGAAATCATGAATATTCATGAGTGGGCGGAGCTTATGTCACTCCGCCCACTCTTGAATATTCATAATTTCTGTGCACGAGACCATTGTAGGTTTAAAGGCACAACATACGTGGACGGCCGGTCCAAGGAAAATCTGATATGAGATCGTGTTTTGCAGGACACCAAAATGTCTGCTCATTTTAGAAAACCGTGAAGGTCCGGCTTAAAATGAGTTTGGGGTAACCCATGCTTGTCGTAAGAGGCGACTAACGGGATCGGGTGGTCAGGCTCGCTGGCTTGGTTGACACATGTCATCGGTTCCCTATTGCGCAGATCGATGCCCATGCTGTTGATCATTGGATTGTCTCCAGACTCGATTATTTACATACCGCTGCCATATAGCTGGAATATTGCTGAGTGCGGCGTAAAACTAAACTCACTCACTCATTTTAGAAAGTCTCCAGCATACCCACGGTGCGAGGACGCTGATTTCCCGTAAGCGCAGTTTATATTGAAATTAACGTGTTTTCCACAACACTCACTGGCTAGGGAATAATCAACTGTTCTTCAATTTTCAATATAAGGAAAGTGAACTTCAGTTGTCAAAAAGCATGCAAAAAGTTCCTTGTGCACAAATTTCATGCAAAGTGCTTTCTTTGCTACATGTTTATCAAGCTTATTTCATAACTTTTCAAATAACTTTTATGCAATTTTATGTTATGTACAGTTACTTTTCTCCGTCGGTATATTTTCAGATCGTTCCCAAACGCCAGTACTACTGCCATGTGACGAATGTTTGGGAACAAATCATAGGATAAGCAGATACTCAAATAGTTATTATTGAATTACGACTATTGTGTAGAAGTTCAGATCCCACTGGTTACAAGTAAATGAAAACATTTTTTAACAGCAAGGTTTTTTTTAATATCTTGGACAAAACATGCCTTGGACCAGGAAATAAATGATTCTGGGCGTATCATGAAACTCGGAGACTTCAGCTACCAGCAGAAACGCAAACCATGTACAAGTACATGTAAATATAAAATATGAAACGTCATTGCTACAGCATAACCAGACTTAACCTGCTGTAATATAAAAATATTGATGTTTTAAACCATGGCAAGAATCTAATGTGACATGATCAGTGGTCAATGTAGCGTTTTGTCATGTAACGAAACGTTTGAGGGGCGGTGGGGTAGCCTAGTGGTTAAAGTATTCGCTCATCACGCCGAAGACCCGGGTTCGATTCCTCACATGGGTACAATGTGTGAAGCCCATTTCTGGTGTCCCCCGTCGTAATATTTCTGGAATATTGCTAAAACGGGCGTAAAACTAAACTCACTCACTCATTGACGTTAGCTAAATTGGAACAAGCGTTGGTTCAGACATGGAACAACATTCCCCAATCTTTCTTCAATCGCTTAGTTTCGTCTGTGCGTCGTCGTTGTCAAGCCTGCGTCAAAGCCAATGGTTGACACACACGATGCTGACTTTGTGAACTGACCTTTCACACCACATCTCGTCAAGGGCGTGTCACGATGCTTAGTGTCAAATCATACAGATTTCGATTTTATCCTGTCAACAATTAAACAGTGGTTAAGCAAAACACCACAAATCATGTTATTATCTTTTGCATTAAAAATGGCATAACACCAAATAATGAACAGTTACTATATTCCAGTAGTATACTTACTATTTTAGGTAAATTGGATGCTACGGGACATGCTATCGCCATTGAACCTTTATTGATTTTCAGTTGTCCTTTTATACACATGGAACTTAATTAAGCACCCCCTATTTTTTCATATTGCCATGAAACTGAGCAACCATTACCATTAGTATGTATACTGGAAAGCTTAAACGCCATTGTTTCCTGAAAGTTGACATTTTGGACTAAACAATAACAACTAAAATCATAACAATTTGCAATATTTTAATTTTCAAAATGACGTGAAAACGCCAACGATGTTTTGTTAACAAAAGTTTCCCTGTACAACTATGGGACTGCAGAGTTCCAAAATGGGAGAGGTGAGTGTCTCTCAGTCTGAAAATGTTCTCTGTCATCATCAGACAACAAATCACATTAAATTGTTAATAGCGTGCATATCCACCGTGTGCACGGATGACTGCTTTGACCCTCCTCCTCGTGCTTGTCGTGAGTCACCGGTTTCGCTCCAGAGGCAGCTGCTGCCACTCCGGCGCAAAGCTGCTTCCAAATATACCAGATCTTGTACAGGTGGATCCAGTGCTTGCACAGTGCTCCAAGAATGCCCCAGACAGGCTCCAATGGGTCCAGATTTGGGCTCATAGCAGGCCATGGAAGTTTGGTTCCAGCGTTGTTGGAGAAAAACTGTCACAAGTCGGGATCGATGTGTCGGGCGTTGTCATCCATAAATACAGGGCGAGTGGCTAGTGGGTGGTTATCAAAATGTGGCACAAGAACAGGATCCAGAATGTCCCGGATGTCGTGTTCGCCATTGAGATTTCCACGAACAGTCACCACGTCCAGTTAACAATCATGGGAGAGACAACCCCAGACCATGACAGATCCACCACCGTAAGGAACTGATGCTCTGAAGATCTTAGGCTCATAGGCACTGTTCTTGGTCCTCAGACTCGCTGGCGCCAGTCTGTGACGTGCAATAAGTGACTCTCACTCGACCAATGCACCTTCCTCCATGACGTCAAA